GGCTCCACTCTCCTCCACGTCGGCCTACCCCCCCCCCCCCCCCCCCCCCTCCCTTCACCTAGTTTATCCCTCTATCCCCTTTAGAGCCCCTCAGCCCTCCATAGTAGGCTTTACTATCCATTTCAGCCTCACCCTACCCCCACAGCTATGAGTATGCCCTCTTTAAACCCTTTGCTATGCACCCCTCTTTCAGTCCCACCCCAGTCCCCCTCTTCCACCACCAACAGCCCTCCCCTCGCCCACTCCTCAACCCACTCTCCAAACCTTGGGGCTTTCCTCCCCCCAAGATGAACCCCGTGCCACAGTCAGTGCACCCTAATCCTCACGCCCCAGCCCCTCTACAGACAGTTATACATCTCAGACGTCTCCCACTTCTGTGGGATCTAGTTTCGTCGAGGCACTGGATAATGCCCAAGAGGATTTCAATTAAGTTATGAAAATTATGAGACTTCGCTACAGTGGCCCCAAGGACTCGAAGATTTGATATTCCCAGAGGTCGACCGTCAACCCAAGATTTCTTCTAAAGGAAAAAGAGAGCTAGTAAACCTGGCATTTAGATTAACTATGGCTATGCTACAGACCTAGATTAGGGGACATCCTCAGTCAACCCGACAATCCTCCAGACATGCCCCCCCCTCCCCCCCCCCCCGCGGGCATCCATCATGAAGATTTTGACATGGAAACATTAGAGGTTTGGGCGAACTGTAGAAAATGCAGAAACATCCTCAATTTCCTTACACTCCCCTGCCATCCTGGCTCTAATAGAAACTAAACGCCCCGCCCCATCCCTCCCTCTTGTTCACCAAATCTGGGGTCAAGACCTTGTCAATGGGTGTCATTGAATGACTAAGGGGCCTCTGGGGGTATCTGGGTTATTTGGGACAACCCTCCACAATATCACTTCTTCAACCATATATGCCTTCGCGGTCTCCATCTCCCTTGTGAGATTGGTCGATGCCTTCAATTGGAAATTTACAGTTGTATGTGGTACCAATGCTTCCTCTCTCAGACCCAGTTTCAAGGAGAAATTGAATAGGGAGGCTCGGGCCTCCCCCCACTGTTGGTGCATTAGCGGGGATTTGAACATCACCCGATGGTCATTCAAGTGGAACTCCAATTCCTCCATCTCCCAATTGATGACGGACTTTTCTGATCTCATGTTGCGGATAGAATTATTCGACCTCCCACTTCAAGGGGCCTCTTTTACTTGGTCGGACCATTCTGCCAACCCCACTTTCTCTAAGTTGGATAGGTACCTCATTTCCTTGGACTGGGATGCTGCCTTCCCAACAACCCATTCACTCGCCCTCCCCAAACCCATATCCAACCACTGCCCAATCCTCTTGGACACCTCCCCTTCCCCTCGCACCTCCAAGCCTTTCAAGTGTGAGTTGGTTTGGTTAGAGGAACATAATCTTCCCAACCTCATTCACTTCTGGTGGACCTCTTTCTCAAACCAAATCCAAGGAAGATACCGCCTCCAAAGAGATCTTCAACGACTCAAGGGATCCCTTAAAGCCTGGAGTGCTCAGCTTTCAGCAATTTTCATACCCAAAAAAAATCCCTCCTCCACGATATTCACCAATGGGATTCCACTGAGGAGTATCACCTGCTCTCAGCTAATGAGAGAGAATGACTCGATCTCAAGCAAAGTTAGAGTTCTAACACTTACTTATGAACGAGGAAATATATTGGTCACAGCATTCCAAAGCTAAATGGCTCAAACACGGTGATCTCAACACCGCCTTTCTCCCCATAATAGCCAACTGCAGGAGGAGGGACAACACAATCACCCATATTAAAGGTGGGGAAGTAGTGCTCGACCAAGTACCTGAGGTTGAGAATGTCATTGACTACTTCCATAACCTTTTGAGGTTTCTAGGGGGCCCGAGACCCACCATGGAAGACCTGACCTTTCAAACCATGCCCCCCTACTTGGTGGCCTGGCTAGAACGCAACTTCGAGGAGGCCGAGACCCTCAAGGTCATCTCCGGCCTTGGCCAAGATAGAGCCCTGAAACCTGACGAAATCCTAATAGTCATATTTAAAACCTTTTGGGACTCTTTTAGGGGGTATTTCCTCGCCTTCTTCCAAGAATTCTATGCCAGAGGGATTATCCATCGAGCAATGAATTCCAGTTTCAACGCTCCAATCCCTAAGGTCGAAGGGGCAGAAGAACTCAAAGACTTCAGGCCGATT